TGTTGCGAGACTCTTGCGCAACTCGCGCAAGACTCAGTTTGGAAGACGAAGACTGTTCTCGGTCTCACATTTGGACAACATTAGATGGACATAGCTAAGGAAGTTTATGTCTTTTTTGACTTATACCGTCATAATTATTATAGTTATAAACATCTCCGTTGGACATTTAGAATTTCTAGGGTCTCCTTTTTATATTTAACACTTTAAAATTGAAACATATTCAGTTGTGTAGGGATAATCTCGATTAAATAAAGCATCATCTTTTTGCACTAGTGTTGGATACCCCGAAATTCAATTGTTCTTGTAATTGACAGGGGGCATACCTCAGAAAAAAAATTAAAATCTTTATTTAACCACAAAGAAAAGATAAATGTTCAACTTACCCTTAGCAAAACTGTTAGCAGGAAGGTATGAAACACACTGATCTCAAGAGCACTATAGAAACAACAATGATATGCATTTTAAAATTTTCTTTTTAAGAACTTTGTTTATAAAGTTGTCAATAGAGGCCATTGTTCTTCAATCTAGAAAAAACAAACGTTTAAATCAACAAGGAAAATTATTATTTACATTTAACGTCCGACCTGTCCATAACTGGTGCGCTCACTCTACTGGAAATGACCACTTTTTTTTTTTTTAATTTATTTATAGCATTTTCTTTTATATTTCTGAAGTAATAATTTCTGTCACGATTGTCCACAAATGAAATTGTATCTACCTTTGTGAGGTAGAGTTGGATAGAGCTCGGTCGAATTTCCGTTCCTCAGGGACACCACGGGAATGTGGAATACCGTGTGTCAGCTAGAGAGGAAAAAAGGCCGGGTACAATTTCATCTGGACCGCTAGTGGACACCGGGGGGTTTGTCACGGATTCCCAAGCCAAGTTTTTACAGGAGGCGGTGTGGGCGGGGTCATCCACCCTGCCGTGGGGGGAGGTATCATCTCGTTAGCCCCTCTAATTGGCTATATTAATTAGGATTAAGTACAGCAATTGGCAAGAAGGGAGGGAGAACTCCAAGCGATATCGAGGCGGCGCCTTCTCGATCTAACTGGTCCAATAATGATAACATTTAAATAATTATTCGACTCAAGCATTTAATGCCATAATCTGTATGTTTAGTAGGCATAGGATTGTGTCATTTTTACGTAACTCCGCTTGAATTATTTATTACAGCAACCACCTCGTGTGGAAAAGTGGATCATAAATGAAAACTATCATTATTCCGAAACCCTTAACAACATGAATGATCATAAATGGAAGCCTATCGTCTAGCTGACTACTAATCTTAATTTTATGGTTAATATTTAAATTTTACTCTTTCCTCACTATAACCGTTATCCACATTGTGGCAGAATATTAAGAATGTTACTCATTACTCAATAAAATAGAAAAACATTTTTCTACACGTATGTAACAATTTTTCATTCTTATTCTATTTGTGCTAAAGGTGACATTTTGTATTCTGCAACTGCCATAAGTAGTCTGCTACTGTGGAAAATAGTAGAGGAAAATAAATATGAACTTGTTTAGTCATAAGGGAGATGTTTGTTTATATTCTATATATGAAAATCTTTTCTCCCAAATATTTGTTTTTTTTTATCGCCAAATGTAGCCCAAATGCGAGACCGAGACGAGTCTTAGTCTTGCAAACTCAGTTTTGGTCATCGTCTTGGTCTTGCGCAAGAGTCTCTCAACAGTCTTGCAATTACTTATCAGCTTATTACTATGGAGATATTACTGTAAATGTTTAGATAGAAGAAACCTAACTATTCCCGAATGAAAAATTAGAGGATTTAAATGCAAAAATCATTAACATATAATAAGATTGCCAAGTATTAGTAAATATTTTACCTTAATTTTAATTAAAAGGTCTTACAACAGTTAGGTTGGCCTAGCACTTTGCAAGACCAAGACCGATTTTGGGCAGCACTACTCACCATAGTATCAAAAATAGACATAGATTTAGCCGAACAGAACCTCAAATATCAATCAAAGAATCAAATATTTCACATAGGAAATTAATTAAATCTATTATCATCACAAAATAAATTAACAAAGCAGTAAATTATAAAACATATGTAGGTATTTTTCAAGGATAATTATTAAATAATAAACGAGAGGGTGTAAATATTTTTTATTTTATTCAGAAACATGAAATTTTCAATATTTTAATGGGTTCAAAACATTATTTTAACGTAACTTTATAATTACTCTGATGAACTTTGTCGGAAGAAGTTATGGTGAGTATGTAACCGTGTTTGTGAAGACTTAAACAGTCACCCTAAATAAATAACAAATATACCAAATTGTTCAGACTTGTCTAAGGGATTAGCTAAAAGAGGGTGCAGTTTTAAAAATATTAGAGGAATTTAGTTTCTCATATTCTCTTACTATCTCATTATTTATACATTCTATTGAAATGACTAATAGAGACTTTGTAAAATTAGCTAACGTAAGGTATTTTTTTTTTTGTGTATACAACTTTGTTATTCTTAAGAGACTTGAGTTGTTTGTCTATTTTATATGTACTTATTATTTTTTTTTCTCTTTCACTATTATTTTTCTAACTTATTGTTAGATTTATTAACAATCAGTAGATGTGCTGATTAAATAATGAGATTAAAAATAGAAATAAATAAATTGAAAAAAAAAAATGTAGTAAAAGTAATCACAGCTCCTTAAAGTGAGGATGTTCCAGAAAACTCAAGTTTTGAAGGAGCCATTCGAGGTTTGAAAATGAGCTCTCCTGATGTTATGGTCATCAAATTTTCAAGTTGGCTGGGACGTATAATTTATTTTTAATAGCTGAGTATTTTTACGGTTCTTCAAGGCTCACTGGGTGCCTGAGTACACGTTGGAGGGCCTGGGTACCATTTCCGGTTCGTCAGTCGTTTTTTACTAGCCTAATCTTTTCTGCTCTTACCGGTCCACAAAGTTCATGAGGCCTTTAGCAGCAAAACGAGATAGGCGTTGCTTGCTTGATATTTTTTTTTCTGGAGAGGAAGGAGGGAGCACGAATTGCATCGAATATGTTTCGATCGTGTTATTGATCGTATCATTGTAAAACTTTAATACTCAAGGCATATTTTTTCAGTTTAAAAAAAAAAACGAAAAAAAATCAGTTTTCTGATTTTTATATAACTAATATTAATGTTATTTATACCAAGGCCAGGGTCAGTGTCTCCCCTAATATTCCTTGATGTCTATATACGGTAGACACACTGTACTATTCTCATGAAGAAGTATCTCAACCAATCTTTATATATTATTTCTAAAAACTGTTTTTAGAACACGCCACAATGCTTCATCAAATCAAATTATTGAGCCCTCATTTCAAGGCCCTTCTTCTCCTTCAGGTGGAACTTTTTCCTCTTAAACGATACTGCATTTCCTATTCTGCTACCGTTTTTTCCTTACTGATACATACTTTATTATATCCTATAGCATATATACCCGATTGTTATTTTTACAATTATCTTGGTAAATTTTAATAAATGAAATACTTTAGTCAACCAAGGAAATCACAGTTAATTTCTCCTAAGATAGGGTCTACTTATTGCCTTATTATTTTGCCATTCCTGCAATAAACACTACATTCTGCGAATTATTCACAAGGGGCAACTAATCTTATTTAATACTAGAAAGAGTTTTGTGTCGCAAGGTAATAGCGCAAGTACATGCCTACATAAAGCCTGTTTTTGCAGACTGAACCAGAGATGGGCAAATGCTACTCTAAATACCGAGTAACAAGTATTTTATTTAAATTGAATCACTAGTGGTCATTCAATCTCTACTTCGTGTATGATTTTAGCGAGGAACTATATTATAAATCAATACTGTATCTAAATTAAATAAAAATAAAATTAATTTAAAAATAAATTAAGTATTATAAAACAGACGTACTCTTAAAGGAAGGAACTGTTCTACATATCATGGGTGATAAATATTCAGGACGCAGTCTTTTTAAATTTTTTATTTATGCCAACGTTTCAATCCAAACATGTGGGACATCTCCAGGGCGTGGTTTGAGCACTGAAGATGACCCACATGTTTGGGTTGAAACGTTGGCATAAATAAAAAATTTAAAAAGACTGCGTCCTTAATATTTATCACCCATGAAAACACCGACGTACCTTTATACACTAGGCGACTGGAGACGATTCAAACATAATTAAAAATATTAAAAATTTTTGTAATAATTAAAAATTGTTTTTCCCATTACAAAGCCAGGATTAATGTTACCGTGTGCAGGCAAGGACTGATTTTTTGAGCGGACGGTTTTAGCAACCTTTGTAATTTTTTTGAAATAATATACCAGTTTGAACGTATGCAACGATTTTTTGAGCAAGTTAATAGATCAATCCCCTCAGTGAATAGTTGTGTTAAAATATAGGTAAAAAATAAAACGTTTCTATTCATAAGGCTTAAACATAAACGTGTATAAAGCAATTACAAAATAAAATTTAGTTCTAGCAATTTAAAAAAAAATCCTTTGAACTCATTGTAATAAACACTGTTAAAAACAAATAAAAATTGAAAATTGATTTAGCTAAAGAATCCCTCATCTTATATCTCCTTATAATTTATTTTATAACTGTTCAGTTATTTTTGAGAAATTTAATCGGTTATTTTCAGATACAATCCTTATGACATTTTTGCTAATAAATAATTATATTTTTTAAATCACGCTAAAAACTATTTTATACTACAATTTTTCATAAATGAAAGTCTACAAAAGATATATGTAATCTAAATAATGGGTCTTACACTGTCTATGTTAGGTGTTTTCTTCCATTAAGATATTTGCACATGAATTATGTATACAGAACAAGTCTCAACACCGACAAAAGATACATACGTGCTATTTCTGAAATAACCTATTCAATTATTTATGAATGTTTCATCGTTTTTGATATATGATTGTTAGTGTAGATTTCGAAAACAAATTGCTTCTTTTTTTTTATTTCGTTAGCATTTTTCCTTTAAGGATATTACAAGAATGATAAACTGCACCAAGCCAAAACGGAGACGGGAAGATAAAAGCCGTTAGGTACTATCTTGTCATTGGATAAGCGGAGTGGGCAGGATCACGTTTGTAGCCTGAGCGGTAGATAGGAGTTGTTCATTAGGGTGGAGTGCTTCGCCTTTCTTGGTAGCTTATCTGCAATTATCCTAGTGTCAGTTCTCCGCTCTTGTTTCGGAGGATATTTTAAAGTTTATTTAACATTAATTTATAATCAGGACTTGTTTCTACCGTTTTGGTTTAATTCCTGGCATCCGTTTAATATTACTGTGTTCGTTGGGAATGCAAGGGTAAATGTTTAAACATTGTAGTTTCGCAAACTGTTCGAATCACGCCAAAAAGTGTGCATTGTTGTAAACAATACATATATTAAATTATTATCATATTTTTACCATGAATCCATCCCACACCTATGATCGTGCAAGGCCCCTTGGGCGTTTTCCCATCAATTATTAAAAGCCGATCAAGGCCTGATACAACTTAATTCATTTTAGACGCATTACTTGATAGTTCATAATCAAGATAATCCCATCATTTATCAAATTTCTATTGAAATATCCTTTGTCAATCCTTCATAGAGCTGATTTATTAATCAAGATAGCTGTCAGGATCCATTTAATATAATAAGTCATCGGTTATTTTAAATATACTTATATAAAATTAATCTGATTAATTATACCTGACATTGATCCCACATACAAGACTCAAAAGACAAGAACTCGACCGACGATATGGCCAGCTATATAGACTACTGATCTACTAGACAATACTTAAACCTATTTCGACCTGCGGACTGGAACTGTGGGGGACAGCAAAACCAACCAAACCCTACACCATGACCTTAATATCCCATTTGTCCTAGACCTTATCCTTCAACATTTTTCCAAATTCCACCAAAACCTTACATATAATCCAAATCCAATTGCACAATCCCTCTCTAGCACTACTCACCCCTACAATCCTCCTCGAAGGTTGAAGCGGCTGTGGCCCAGAGACTTGTAAGAATATATTGGAGTTCTGGCAATGGCGATTCTCCACTCAAGCCATGTATGTCTGGTTTTGTTTGTTTCGATGTCAAGGCGCAAAATATCCAGGTCATCAGCGCCCGATCAACTAAATAACAGTACTATTGGATGGTTGGTACAAAAAATAAAAATTAGAAAAAGGATAAAAAAAAATAAATAAAAGGATTGATAGAATAAAATAAATAAATAAAGATAATAATAGACACTTATAGATAATAAGATAGAATAAATAAATTAATGAACTTTTTAAAAAAAAAAACAGTAAAATCTATAAATGAATTGAAATTAATAAACAAATAAAAAAATAATAATTTATTTTATTTGATGGTCTTCGATTAAGTTTCTAAGTACTTCAAAACCTTGGGATTTTCTTTTTATATCTTTGTTCATCTTTTTTTTTTTCTCAAGAAACTGGTTATTATTGGAAAAATATGCAAACCGCACAGCCTTGTGTCTCCAAAATGCAGGCAAGTAAAAAACCCGTTAACGTTGTTTCGCCAACTCAGTCATCATCAGGACAGCTAATCGAACATCATTCCTTGAAATCCAATCGCATACTCCTGTTCGATCATTAAATTCTAATCATTCATGCGAATGATACGTATTTAACAAGATGTAAATGAATTCTACAACAACCAATGAATGGTTGTTGGATTCCACATCTTAATTTTATTTTTTAGAGCACTGTGCTCCAGTCTTATCTTTAGTCAATCTACAGTACCCTAGGAATCGTCTTCGCAATCGTGGGTTCTGTAAGGACATAGTTTTCTGTTCAGGTAATGTCTGGCATGAAAACGATATGTAAATTATCCGTTTTGCTAAGTATGGCTACTTCTTCTGTAAATTCACATGCCATAGGTGAGGAACCCTGGACTTCCAAACGTTTTAGTGCGATATTCATTAATTTATCGCTAGAATTAATTTTTATTCAATTATGTAGGTTATGAAAATTAGAAAATTATTAGGACTAAATTGAATATTGGTTTTTGTATTTAGTAATAAATAAAAAAAGGAACAGTAAAATATAAAATAATAAATTGTTTATAAAAATATAAATTGTTGCGACCCATTAATTAGCACTGCCTAACCTTACTGGCTCCTATGTGAAAAAGGTTCCCCAGCTATGTTATATGTTATTTAAAATAGTATAATTGATAAAATAGGATTTCTGGGCTCTTACTTACTTTCTTGATCTATATAATGAATAGGGATTCATGTTATGCGACTAGTTTGTTGTTGTATGAATTGTTGAAAGCATTGTTTAGCAACTGTGTATATGGGGGTTATGCTGGTGTATAGGTTGTTTTACAGAAATGTTACATGGTCACGAATCGTGGCATTTATATTTAGTTGTGTAACGTTTCTCTTCAATGCAACATATTCTCCATTGGTTTGATTTTCGTTTTTTTTTTTTTTTTTTTTTTTTTTTATACCCTCAGTTGGGTCAGTATCGCTATCGTTAGAAATCTGTTTATCGTCGCGGACTCATCAGGAAGGAATGTCCAACGGTCGTTTTTAATAACGGCTTTTTCATATTTGATAGATAGGGTCAGTTTTGGGTTATCTGCACTTCTGTTTTGTCCTCTGCCATATTCTGCCGAATCTTCACCGGGTCCGTTCGTAGCCATGTGTAAGTGTATCTATCAGCTGTTCATTAGTTATAATTTTTCAATTGTAAATATTATTATTTAAATTAATTATTGTTGTTGATCGCCAATTGAAAATGTTTACCTTTTTTTATATACTATATTAATATATATTTTTATTGAGTAATGTAATATTGTATCACTTCGAAAATAACTTTGGTGAAGTAACATTACACTATTACTTGTATTAGAAACTTAACTTATTTAAATACTTATGAGCATTTCAGTCGATTGAACGACTTACTCAAATTTCAACATTCTTTATTATTAATTTTAGCGGGAAAATATATATCTTTATTCAAAGTTGTATATTTGAACACTGCAATCACCTGCTGTGGAACCAACTTAATCACTGTCTGTACTGATATTATGAATTTAGTCATCACTAAAATGACTACTCAAAAATGTTTAAATTGTGTCATTCTGTCAACTGAAAGACTCGTATAATAAATCTAGAATAGTATTTGTGTGCGTATATTGGCTTTTTGTATGGTATGGATTTCATTATCGTTTTATCAAACGCAACTAATCCAAATCCATCATACTTTTAACAAAAGTCAATCTTCCGTTACATGTAACCAACAGTACACATGTAATTAACCCACATCTTAATATCCCTTCTACTTTAATCCATATTTTCTGTTAATTAACTCTTTTCTCACTATCATCCTATTCCTTTTTTGTTTGATCATATAATGTTACTCTGTTAAAACTGTTCTTCTTGGGTGGGGTCCCTGCCCACGTTTCTTGGAATGGTTGATATAGTATGATATGTTAAAGTTTGTTACATTTCAGTGAAATTGATTATTATATTAGCTGTATTAAAAATTCAATCAGCTACTTCAATCACTAATTCAGTCATGAGGAAACGGGAAATTTTGCATAAGAGTTTCAGATCCTGCAGTTTGTTTATTTAAGTTAGTTTTTCAATTCGCGAACTATGGATTTGACACTTTAAATTTTATAATTATTTAATATTGGTGGGTGGACCATATAACAATATATTATATTATTAATTATTATTTTTCTGTTTCAGGTGACAGGTCGGGAGTGTCAAAGAGTCTTGTTACGGCGGCCAAGTCGCTTGGCTCTAAGGACAACATCTCAGTGGTAGTCGCCTGGCTGGACATGTCGACCCTCGAGAACGGGCACTTCGGCCAGGAGCCGGAGGTAGACGTTACCGACGACATCCTTCTTCCTTCCGTGCTCAGGAATCTCAAGCCATCTCCGCAGATCACTTCGGGTAAGTCCCCTTATTAAGGAGTAAGGAGGGTATGGCTTTGGCTTGGCTTTGGACATCAGGCTGGTGGAGGAGTAACAGCCGCATGGCCTTCGATGGTGCGCTGCTCTCCCGTAGTTTGTATCCGTTCAATTTTCATGAAAGATATCGGGTTGCCGCGTCAAACCATCCGATTCCCGGGAATGAAATAAAACAGTCTTGGGATCTTCTAACGAATGACTCATTGTTAAGTCTTGTTCTATTAGTATTAATCAAGTAAGATTTAATTCTTTTAGTTTTTCCCCGCTCTAATAAAGAACCATTGTTGAATCATTGAAGAAAACGAAAAGGTAAATTCCCGTAAGGGGAATTCGAACTTCACACCATTTTTTTTTTATTTGTCATTCACTCACTCATTGAATCAGTTCATGAGTGGATCAATCTTGTCGATTACTTACTGATTTACTTTTTGTACCAATTACAAAAAAACAAATTTCCAAAAAAAAACAACACAGTTATCCCACCATTTTTTAAATTTTCGTCCTAGATATAACTGCACTTACTTTTTACCTCCATATGATGGTAAAGCAGAGCTCTAGGAATTCTCATTGCGTCCTCCTTTGTCAGTGCTATTACCAAAGGCTGAATTACCAAATAAAACTTTTTATTTGTAATGGTGATTATTAACCAGGAATATATATATATATTTATATATGTAATTAATAATGAACCAGGCAGTGCAGTTAAATGGATAATAAAGAAAATTGTAATTTTATTGTAAGTATAACAAAGCATGCCCATGCTGGTCATAATAATTTTCTTACTAATAATTACTAACTAAAAATTTAAGTAATTTAAGTTTGTTCACCAGTCATTACTTTTGTAATAATTCTCTTTGTTAACGGGAATTCTGTCTAATACTTGGTATGATAGTTTATTTTCCATTACTTTGGATAACCAAGTTTAAGTTGAGAAAATTTCGTGGCTGTTACTCTTTCACTTTGATAGCCTAGCTTCGGTAATTAATGAAGAAGGGTATGTCTCACATTCAAACTGTGATTGAAACAATTAATTACTAAGAAAATCTATTCATTTAAAAAAAAATAATTGATATTCTGAGACAACTCCTTCTTATGTTGCACCAGTATTCACAACAGGAATATCAGTATTTGTGAATGAAATAACAAATTTTATATCAACAACTTGAGATTCGCTAGATATAATAAACTCGTTATTGAAGACAGATTTTGTTACAGTGATTGACAAATAAACAATCATTGACAAAATCGCACAGATAGAGTTCGTTTGGTCTTACAAATATCTGATATTCTTAATTGCTTATTTATTTTTCATCATTTTATTGTTGTTGTTTTTTTTTGTTTTTTTTATACTGGATTGTTTTTCTGTTTTTACAATAGAGCACTTAATTATAATATAGGCTTCGATGTCGTAAAATTGTGTTTGTCAAGTGTTCGTCAGTGTTTGTGTATTTGATTCACAAATTGCTACACCTGCATGATATATTTTTTTTCATTTAGTGTTGATATAAGATCCTGATGGAGTTTTCGACCTGTTGTCAGTTATGTATCTATTTTTTTTAAAACATTTCTGTTGTGTTGTTTTCGTCGCATGTTTTCCAATATAGCCCATTCTTCGCTTGAATGTCCTATTTTTAACAATGCAGGTTCTATATGGTATTTAATGTCAGAAACATTTTAGATACGGGGGAAAAAGCCTGTGATGATTAACCATGGGGAAGCTTTTACCCATCATTCGCACCCCACATGAAATTCAAATGAACCTCGTATTGGATTGAATGAATAATTCAAAGGTATTGAAGATACCAATAGATCTCTTGTAAATTAATCAGGCTTCCATTCTTCCAAAATCCCAATTTTCGTAATAATCCTTGATGAATGAAACATTCTGGTTTTGTAATTTTGTCTGCAGGACCCCTCCAACATAATATCCTGATGATATTATTTTAAAAGATTAATACAGTAGCTTATTTATTTTTTTCCATTTTTCTGTTTAAATATCATCCTAGTGGTACTCAAATATTTTCAGATCTGTCGATTTCTGTATACGACCATAACTGATTTTGTAAAAATAAATACATATTCGTTCAGAAAAAAATATATTGAGTATAAGCAATGACCCGATTTTTATGTTAAAAAAAAATATATATAACTATAATAGGGTTAAAATTTACAATAAATAAATCAAATATGCTATTGTTGTTTGTGAAAAAAGTAGTTTTTTTTACATCTAAAATCATATAGAAAAATTTCCTTTGTTTTTAAAATAGATAGAGACCTAAATATACTTAAAATATCCAATTTATTGTATTACAAGTAATGTGTCACTTATTATTTCTTTTTGAGATAAAATAAAAATGTAAATATTAATGATGTGCATTCAGACCGAAATAAAAAAATAAATTATAGAAAGATTCTTAAATACACAATAAACTTGTTTAAACGAGTAGTTTCTTAGAATTATTGAAAACTAATTAATCAATTTTTTTTCTTTTATAGGTAGTAAAGATAATAAAGATGAATAATAAGTATATTTCAGTCTCGTTTCTGTTTAAAATAGTATTTTAATTTCCAGACATTTATACATAAAATCAAATTTATTTAATTTATTAAATAAAAGTTATTATTTTATTAAAAAAATAAACAAATAAAAAGTACTTAAGAGGCTATTTTGCTCTATAATCCAGTTTCATGCTTTAGGCTTTAAAACTGTTTTTTTTTTTTTAGACTGGTTCCTGAAAAATATTTTAGATACATTCTAGATGTATTCTAGATACGTTTCGACGGTATATTTTGTTCTACAATAGAATTAAAGATAAATTATTTTATTCGAATTTTATCCCAACTTGTTTTTTTTTTTTAACATATTTTTGTTCTTTTAATATTTCATTTGATAGATGTTTAAACATACTGTAAAGATACTGCACAAAGTAATCATGTTTATATTTCTAGTTATTTTTTTTTAGAGTAGTAATAATCGCTCACATTACTCATGTATATAATTCTAAAACCTTATATATTATTTAACTAGATCACAAGATCAGACTAGCGGCTCACATTATGGTGCATGTAGTCTTACGTAGTTTTATCATTAAAAATTTAGTTTTGTGTATATATTGAATTATATTCACCACTTGATTCAAGTAAATTGTAATTTGGCAATTAATTTTGTTTTGGCATTCATCGATTCACAATGAAGACAATATTCTTCGATTTTCGTTACGTCCTGTTTGATGTCCATTAAATATACGTTTATTCAATATTTGCTAGATTGTAATGGTTTTTAGGTGCTAATTTTTCACTTCTTTTGTTATTGTGTATTTATGTGAATAACTAATTCTTTAGGAGGTGATTTGGTTATACCTGTTGTTCAGTGAAGCCTTTCTTGGACATTTTCCCTAACTACTCTAATGTACCTTAAAAATAATTATAATAAAGGATTTAACATTGTTTTTCTAAGCATTTACTGATAAAAAATAAAATATTAAGGCTTATTTTTGACATTTTATTAATAGTAAACTATATTATACACAATTAACATGAACTAATAGTCCGTGGTACTATCGGATTATTAATATCCGCCTGAAACTTGAAACTTCCTGAATAATTTCATCTCATCGTAACGTACAACTATTTTATTTGCGAAAACTCTTGGAATTGGAGCGTTTTGAATCTAGAGGGGGAGGGCTTAGTCTATTTAGTTAGCTACTTAAAACTCGTAAACACCCTATTTGCTCTTTAGTTGGATCGTAAGATAATTTGATTACAAATTCGATAAAAAAACATGTGGACTTCAAAAATATTGAGCCTACATGATCTACATCTTCCAAATTTTCAAAATAACGAGATTATATAGGCCTTAAAAATAATTATTATAAAAGATTTAACATTGTTTTTCTCAGCATTTAATGATAAAATATTATTATGGCTCATTTTTGACATTTTTATTAAAAGCAAAGTATATTATACACAATTAACATGAACTTATCACAAACGGCCCAATATTTTTGTAGTCAACTTTTTTTTTCGATTTTGTGATCAAATTATGTTACGATCGAAGCCGAATGGAAATGGGTATTTACGAGTTTTTAGTACCCAATTAAATGGATAAAACTTGCCCTCCACCAGATTGAAAACGCCCCAATTCCAATAATTCTCATAAAGAAAATAGTTGTAAGTTACGATGAGATGAAACTACGAAGTTTCAGGCGGATGTTAATAATTAGATAAAAATGTTTCTGTGCCAGGGACTTTAGTCTCTTGACTCGCATTTTCAAACGTAGGCTTAACGCTTATTATCTCAAATCGTTGCGATCAAAATTGTACAAGAAACCAAATATACATTGTCACTTGTCCAACATAATACTAGTTACTTATATAATATAAAATCCCCTATAACATACAAAACATCATAACAAGGAAACTTCATGGGTATTAAAAAACTATTAATTTACGATTTTTCTGATACCTTAAGCGTAAATAACATCATGCCCAGCTCATTACTAGGCAATTTAACTGGAATTTAATTAGGCTACATGCCGTTTTTCGAGGGCCGGAGGAGAGGGCAGGGAAATTATGCCATGTTAAAAGTCCCATGGGGCATCGGGATTTGAACTCGTAATTATTTGTTTATCTGAAAACTTCGGTTATCAGGTTGCCGAGGAACGCCGTACGGTGCTGTGCACACGCCTTAACCCGCTCGCCCATCCGGCCCCCAGACCTATATCTACATAACTTGAAGTATGAAGACTTTCCGCTATAAATCTTATATTATGCTAAGAGTTGTCTTTTGTTTTGTTGTCATTTCCCTTCGGGGACGCAGGCATGTGAACGCTTAGAATTTCAAGCCTGTTCGAAAAAAAATAAGTAATAATAATAATAAACCTATTTGTTGTTTTCCTGTCGCTTAGTTATTATTTATCCGTAAGAAAAAGTTAAAATTTAATAAAGGCTAAAATTTGTTCTACACGTTATTATTAGTAAATCTGATTCCTTAAATGTATTATCCTGCACACTGTCCCGAAAGGCTTCACTCTAATGCAAGTACTCCATTGTCTGTGACTTGTCCCACTCCCCTATGTATGGACTGTGATCCTCTGTCTTGTCGCCTCAGCATCTTGACTAAAGCGATTGCATCCTTAGCCCCCCAGAAACTGGACGAAAATGCCGAGAAGTGGCTGAAAACACTTCCGTGGTCCTACGCAGATGCCGTGAAGAAGTCTGCGCAGAAGAAGGACGAGCCGGCCGCACCGAAGGTTCCACAAGAGGTCGAGGAACCTGTAGAGGTAGCAGAGGTACCCGAACCTGAGGTGGCAGATGTACTTGAGGAGCCTCCTCAACATAAAGGTAACTTGTCCTTTGTTCGGCGGAGGCATGTCCCATGAGGAGTTCTTCATGTTCGTTTGCATTTCTTTCTCTCTCTGATTGGTCTGTAATTTTTTCCAGGGGATGAGATCGACTAAGTATAAAGTTACACAATAAATAGAATAATATTTTTAAATTGAAATTTTAATAAACGAACGATTGCTTGTATGTTTGGTCCAAGCTTTTTGACAAGTCACATCTAGTCCGAAGTGTCGGAAGGTTTTATTTTTTAAAATAAAAATTTAAACAATAACTTAATGCATTGCTGTCTCTTGCTATAATTATATTATTTATTCGCGTTTTATTCTATGTAGTTGAAATGGATTGGCAGGTTGAACGAGATAAGGGTCTCGAAACCGTCCGTGATCTCGTGGGACAGCGGTGTGATTCCCTGGAGTTATCTTTTTTTTCTGAAGGGGTGAAATTGTGGATAGGATCCAATTCTGGTATTTAAATAATGAAGCCAATAACTTTGGTGCAACAAAAATAATGGTTTCCAGGAATACGACATGCTTGACTACTATACTTACACATTGGTGGAAATTATCATTTTGTGGAGGTGTTGAACCATGCAGCAAGAGGCATCAAAGGCACTTACCGTAAGACCCAATAAATTTACATTAGAGACATCTCTTGTCTTACATACTTAATCATTTCTATCCACTTCAATATTTTATTCAATAGTGTTTGTAGTTATACGAGCTAGTCCCACATACATAATAATAAATATTTTAAAACATAAATAAAATCTTGAAATTTAAAACATGCTCCTGAAATTATATTTATTGTTTTTTATATATTTTTTTTTTTACGGAAGTACTTGAGAATAACCTGCAAATTGGACTTGATTTATATATAATTCACAAAAATAGGCTTTAATACTTTACAAATATAATTCCTTACTATTGGAATGGTTATTAATCCATATCGTTATATGATATTTTATTATTTTATTTTCATTAGTTTTATATTTGACAAAATTACATAAACCTATTGAATTATTATAGTAACAAATGTTGATTCATTTTCAAATCTCATCCATCCCCTGCAAGAAATAGTTGACACGATTAATCCCTTCATTTTCTATAAACGTGAAGTGCATTAACTGATTTATTCATAAGTAGAATTGTCTAACATGTCATGCTGTTTGGAATTATTCTTTATGTTCGAATTACGTTTATTATGAGCGAAGAAGAAAAAAAAAAGTTATCTTTTTGAGGCAAAAGCCTATTTAAAGGTTATCCAATAGTTAGCAAGGTATCACGAATTCATCTCAATCAGGTGGATGGGATTCTTCATGTATTACTTTCTTTAAATCAGCACTCGTGAGTACTGTAATTTTATATTTTTGCATGGTTTGGTAATTTTATAATATTGCATGACGCATGCGTATTGCTTACTGATTTGTAATATTCTTTGTAATATATATATTTTTATGTTTTATACTTATTTTAAATTTTATAATTATCTTCAAGTTAACGATAATCCCAAAGGGTTAATTTGTTTACTTCTTCATCACAAATCGTCATAAATGCAATGAGTCATATGTCAAAATATTCACTATTTAGTTTTGGGTTTGGATAATAGCTTTAAATTTATAAGAATTAAAATAAATGGTGTTAAAAGGTAAAAATTATGTGACGTCTTTGGTTTCTCCTGTAAAGTTGATTCTATATTTACAACGATGTTGAAACAAAAAGGAATTTTTTTTTTCATATACATTTTACATCCATTATGAATGTATAGACTTGCATTATGTTTCTTTATGCGTACTTATTCATATGCATATACTTCATTAAATACCATCAATTATTCGCATATAATAGTTAGAATATATATTTTAATCATTACTCATTAGTTTATGGATTCATAATATTATAATTTTAAATAAAATGAGCTAAGCAATCAATATGTATTAATGTAAATCTCATCAGAAATAATTCTTTCGTAAGATTAAATTTTAATTATTTATTTTAATCAATACCATTGATTTTATGCTATCCAATGACGGTTTGATGAATTTTTAATCAATGCCTAATAAAAAAAAGTTGTTTTATTGCAATATTTCGATATTATTTTTGTGCTGATGAACAGTATCATTGGTTTTTAATTAAATGAAATAAATATATTTTAAATTGAATTTTTATTTATTTATTTTCTCTGATATGGAATTTATAGACCGTTATAATTATTAATAGAGATGAGTGATAAATATTCAGGGCACAGTCATTATAAGATTTTTATTAGTGCCGACGTTTCAACCCAAACATGTGGGCTGAAAAATTTCATGTTTGCTTTGAAATGCTGGCACTAATAAAAATCTTATAATGACTGCCTCCTGAATATTCCTGAATATTTACCACCCATGATATGTAGAACAATCGACTAACTTCCTTCAATAATTTATTAATAGTGATAATAAAATATATACATAATTATTTTAAAAGATATTTTGGTTGTAATGAATAAGTTTTTATCCTCGTTAATATTAATAAAATGTTGAGGAAATACGGAATGTCCTTTTTCTTAAGACCGTTTCAAGGTTTTCAGAGCTATTTTAGTCCGTTGGTTTGTTGTGTTGTAATTTCAGTTTAGCGTGAATTGTTAGTTTCTTTAAAAGTTTGAACATAAGAAACAGAGACGCCATAGGATTTTCCAGGCGGCTTGTGGTAGTATTGTTGCCGGGTGCAGCAGGAACCTTGGTCTGAGGAGCGTGAAGGCTGGTGCAGCGAAATGTCTGGACCATGAAGCAATAGTTGTTCGGTTGGCAAACCTTTCCGATGAACTCCTCTTGCTGAAGTTGTTGGTTAAAAAAAACTTCTTTGAAACACATTTAGCAAATTACCCACACACGGAGTTGCTACAGCATTTCGTGCATGTGTTTGTTATCTTACAGAGCTCATTTCGCAGCTGTATCATTTATAAAACAATATTTTTTTTTTGCCATCACAAGCAATGTCCCGCGGGGCTTGGTTGGAGGTTTCTATGCGGCCCGCGGAATTAAGTCGAGGTCTCAATGTAGCCTGCGGTCCAAAACATTTTCGAGACCCCTTCTTTAATCCAAATCTATATTAATGTTTGATGATAAGAGGTAGTTGGAATACGCTAATTTATGGGCCGATAAGTATCATTTGGAAATTTTGCGTTAGATTGGCTGTTAAGTAAGAATGGTTTAAGCTTTATAATCCCAAGACGGGAGGTAACTATAAACAACAGACTTTTAAACATATCGTTTCCTCGTTTAAAAAAAGGCAAAAAGAAAATACCATTAAATACTGCAAAAATAAACTTTTCAAACATATCGTTTATCAAATAGTTACTTTTGACTGACATTTAAGATTTTCGGAAAATTTTGGAAAATAAATAAAAAATTTAAGCTATAGTATCGAAAACATACCGACCAAATCATCTGTTATCTTCCACAGACTATGCATATAAAGATTTTAGTTAAAATAAGTCGGCAGAATTACATCTTTAATCTTTAAAAAAAAAGGTTGTAGGGAGTACACAAAGAGAAAACCCGTTAAATGCCAAATTTTATCAATTAGAAAAAAATTTAACCCCTTAGTCAATTTAAGCCTTCTACACCACCTTAAAAATTAAAAGAGTAATTCTGATCAATTCTTTATTCCAATGGTATAAAGTCTATTACAGATAATTTATTGTTTTGTAAATAATTCTTATAACAATTCTGTTTTTCATAAAATAAATATTTGTTTTATAGATTTATATTTATAATATTCTGTTAATTTTTTTTTCTTATTGCTCATAGTTTATTTTATTTATAATTAAAATATTTAAATACAGGTTTCCTGGAGGATTATTTCAAATATTGTTAGTATTTTTCTTATAAAAATTCTATTTTATACAGAACATATCCTTATTTTAGTAATATTTTTTAAATATTCATAATTCTAATATTTTTTCATGTTTTTTCTTATTGCATATTTTATTTGATTTATAGTTCAATTTAAATACACGTTTTCCTTGAGGATTATTTTTAGTCTTCGAATCTTTAAAAAAAAAAAAAAAAAAACATTTTTTAAATTTTATCCATGAGCTCTACAGAAATGGGTTTCTCTTGAAGGATTAATTCGGGTCTTTACTCTTTTCTCTTGTATATAAAGCTTAAAATATTGTAAATAAATTCTTATTTCTTTTTCTAGAGATTGGTTTTTATCGGCATTTAGATTCAGCAATTCAACGCCCACTTTTGTTTGTTATCTTCTTATCTGTCAAAGGCATTTTTATTTTTTATTTTGAATACTTATAATAATGGATCTTTGTTTATATACTCTTCCTCGAGTGTTTTACAAATTCATTGATACTTTTTTTAATTAATTATTAATGGACTCACTGATGCAAGTTGCCACGAAGTTACGCTGTTGTTATCTTGGTCTTATATTGTTTGATAGTATCTTCCAAGGCTCTCTTCATCGTTCCGAATTAATCACATCCTTGATAACTTAGCATTTGTTATAAGAATTACATCACTAAATTTAATCTATAAATAACAATTTTTATTATAATTGAAAGAATAATTTATATTTATAAAGAAAATGACTTATGTTGTAATTAAATATCCCTAAAACATTGAAAAGAAAACATTAAGTTTAAAAATTGATTAACAAATTATTTTTGTTTTTTGCACAATTATGTTTTCTTATTTAGTTACATCCAAATCGCCGATTGCGTCAGAACAAAAATCTGTGTTATATAAAACTGTTGTGTTTTTGAATTATAGCATTTCTAAATGACATTCAAAGTCAATGCAAACTTTTCCAAACCAAATTCAATTTTCAGTTTTTAGGAGTTCTGAAACGTTAACGTATTAGACCATATAATTTTAAAATCGAAAGTATTTTAAAAAAAAAACATTGCTTCTTCGATACCATAAGAATCGATTACTATATGAACAATTTTGAATTTTTAAAATAATTCCAAGGTGAATTGTATTTCGAAAAAGCTTAATTTGTCTTGAAATTAGTTTAATTTGACTTAAAAATGTTAAATATGACTT